CCCCAAAACCCCAAAACCCCAAAACCCCAAAACCCCACATTTTCATCCACTGAGTAACTTTATTTCTTAAAGCATAAAATACAAACATATATAGGGAGACACAGACATCAGCAGAGACATCTCAGGCATTCTTGATCGTCACTGTTCATCTTACAGTCACAGCATTCCTTTTTGGCTATTTTAATACAGATTAGAGGAGGCAGGGGGAATGAGTAGAGATTAGTTTGGAAGACGAGTGAAGAAGTAGCATGTGGTGGCAGGAATGGGCTAGGGATAGTTTGGGTATGGATAGGAGAGTGTAGGAGTTTAGTTGGGGTGGGGTGTTGGGGTAGATGAGTGTGCTTAATATGTTTGTGATGAAGCTTATGGGGTGGGAGAGAAAAAGAGAGTGAAATTGTTAATAAATTCTTTATTTTAAAACTGCATGTTGTATTCTCTTCCAGTTTCCTACCTCTTCTCCTTCTTGGTGGTGGTTGTGTCTGGTACAGAGGCTGCCTACTCTGAGCTGGAGCTGGAGAGTCTACCGGCTGACCCTAAAGAGATGGTCATGGATGACCTACTATCTGGAAGGGTTGACCTGGATATTGTGAAGATGGGTCTGGAGTTGGGCTAAAAGAAGAAGTTGAGAAATAATCTTGGAAGGAATCAATGCAAATGAGTATAGTTTAGAATTTTGAGAGATGAAAGAGAAATTTTATGGGACTCAGAGGGAGTAGAAGGTGTTCCATAGGGGATAGTAGGAGCTTTTGAGATGGTAAGGTTTTAATAAGGATTTCATGAGCGTGTGGGGTTCAAAGTTGGAACACTTTGAGAGAACTTGTTTTTTTGTAGATATAGATAGAAAATTGATAATCAGAGAGATTTAGCACAAAAAACATGAAATATTATGAATTCTTTAAATTATATGGTTTAAAACTAGAGCTGAAAATTTTGGTTCAAAACAATTAAGAATACTAAAATCAAGTCCAATCAATCAGTCTCACATCTCCTCATAATCCATCAAAAATTATTTATTGTCCCTCACCAAGACATCTGATCTAAAAACAACATACCAAAACAGCACACCAAAATTAATTTTCCCGTTGTCAAAATCTAAAAATTCAAAAACCCTCAATCTCCTAAAATGCACTAAGTGCCAAAACCTATCTGTTTTGAAGACCTGACCATCCAAAATTATTCTCCGAAAATAACCCTCAATGATGAAAAGGATTAACCACCCTTACGCCTGGCTTGGAACAATAGCTGGGCCAGCTATGTAAGGGTTTGAGGGAACCACTGGAGTAAAGTCTGGCTGTTCTGCATCTACATTTGTCGGATGTATCATTTGTGGGTTTTCAAATTGAGCTTCCATTATCACAATTTCAAAAATATTTATTATGACGCAAGATTTTTAATATTTCAATGAAAAATATAACTTTTGGGGTTTTGGGGTTTTGGGGTTTTGGGGTTTTGGGG